GCCGGAGCGCAGCCAGCCCTCCTCGTCGAAGGTCTTGGCGGTGGCGGCGGCGTTGTTGTAGTAACCATCCATAACCTGCAGCAAAAACGCTTAGACTTAGAGGCTCGTAACTGACAGTATGTTTTTTTTTTTTTCTACCTGGTTTCCCTTTCTCTCTTTTCAGACTTTCTATGTTTATGTATTGGCAAATTTTGCGCTTGGATTTGTCATGTTTAGGTAATCCTAAAAAGTCTGAAAGTGTTTTTTATGACCGTAGTTGTAAGCAAGTATATATATAATATACAGTGTGTTTGTTCTATCATCTAAAGTACTGATTCAGAATAAATATCAAAGGCTTCAAAATAACTTCTTCATCTGATAAATCATTGACATAACCAACAAATTATATTCATAACAGGTACTTTACCGATGGGCTTTTGAAACACAGCTCTCCATCAGCAAGCGGGCCGAGTAGCTCCCCCGTGGCTGTGTCGATAACCTTGGCCTTCACATTGGGCAGCAGTTTCCCGATGGTTCCCGAACGCGATTCGCCGAACGGAACCATCGTTAAGAAGTTACACTCCGTCATACCGTAACCTGTGATGAAATATCTCCCATAATCATTTGCAAATATTCATTACTTTCTCCCTATTCTCTTCAACATTAATTTGTAAGAATTTATCATTCTTTATATTTTCTCCCAAGTTGATTTGCATTGTTTACTTTCTTCTTGTACTATATTCATATTTGAACAAAGGAATCCTAAACAATTAGTCTCGAAATAATCAAAATTATAGACTTTCAAATCTAAAATTACACAAATTATCGACGCCTTTATTTTCTTGGTTGTTAAATACCATCTTGGAAGCCGGCTGTCGGGCTGAGCTTGTCCATGAGGGAGTCAACAGTGGAGGGGGCGGCCGGGGCAGCGGAATTCACGATGGCTCTGAGGCTGCCGAGCGCTTCCGGCGTCGCCGCTGGGGACACCTTCAGGAAGTTTAGAATCGGAGGCACCGAGTAGAGCAACGTCACCTAGAGTGTTCAAGGGTTTATACTTAGTTCGTTAGAAAGATCTTTTTTTCGCTATATTCAAAAGTTTCCTTATAGTGTTGTTTTGAAGTTCTTGAAGATTGGTAAACCGTATTCAAAGGTAAGATCACTAGATATCGCAGGTCTCCATAAATATGGAAAATGTGGCCTTTTTCAAATTTTCGTCAAGCGATTTACCCATGGCAATGCAAACCATTTGAAGGACTAGTTCTAAGCAAATCAGTATAAATGAACAAAAACAAACAAACGATTATCAACAAAACAGGTCCCATTATGAAAATTCGCCCTGTCCCTCCTCACCTTGTGTTTTGAAATGGAGTCTACAAAAGTCTTGGAGTCAAACCTGGGTGTAGTGACGATCTTCACCCCATCACGTAGGAGGTAGATCATACCACACCCGAACCCAAACATGTGGGAAAAGGGCACAACAGCGAGGGATATGTCTTGCTGCGTACCTGCGGAGTGAAAATGGTGTGCAGCATGGTGTGTTATAACAGGCAGCTGTGAAAAGAACAAAAATGTTTTATGTGAAAAATATTATAAACTTATAGAGGTGTCTTGGCGTTATCGACTTCTCTTGGTATTTAGCAATTTCTTTTTCTCCTAATTCTCTCTCTCTCTCTCTCTCTCTCTCTCTCTCTCTCTCTCTCTCTCTCTCTCTCTCTCTCTCTCTCTCTCTCTCTCTCAATCTATTTATCTATCTAATTTTCATTCATATTCTTACCCGTGGCTTGTTCAACCGAGGAGAGTTGGCGAAATATTGTCATGTTGGCTGAGAGTGAATTGTGGCTCACTATCACGCCCTTTGGATTCCCTGTGGTGCCGCTCGAGTATGGCAACATTGCTGTCTCTTTCCCGGTTAACTGTTTCGGATATTTTATAGTACCAGATTTTTTTTTTTTTAGTACTAAATAAAACATTGGTGAGAAATAAGAGGAAATGGGAATTATATAACTGCATCTTATTCCACTAAATGTCTTTTGGTCAATATCTGGCCACTTTTCCGTTAACAACTGATTCACCTCAGGAGCAATTCATACTTCAACAGGATCTACGAAGGGGACGGAAGGATCCTCCAGAACCTGGCGGAGGCTGATGGACTTGGGACTCGCAGAATGGCCGTTCATGACCAGAGGCGTGGGCTTCCGGTACAGGTCGAGGGCGGCGCTGAGGGTCGGGGACAGAAGGGCATCTCCCACGAGGACTTTGGTGTCGCTGTCCTTCAGCTGGCGAGCGATTTCCTCTGGGGGGATTGTGAGGTTAGTGTTCACATAGGGTTGTTATTGTTCTTGTGAGGTTAGTGTTCACATAGGGTTGTTATTGTTCTTGTGAGGTTAGTGTTCACATAGGGTTGTTATTGTTCTTGTGAGGTTAGTGTTCACATAGGGTTGTTATTGTTCTTGTGAGGTTAGTGTTCACATAGGGTTGTTATTGTTCTTGTGAGGTTAGTGTTCACATAGGGTTGTTCTTG